AGGCGCACACACACCCACGCCGTGACCACTGTCGTCATGATACCAAACTTGCTCAGAAATAGGAGGCTGAACTCGACCACCACGGCTGGGCAGTTGGCCAATCCATTGATGTCTGTGTTGGAATTCGAAATCTGTCCCTACCCATTTAGGGCCGGATATCCGCGTATACGGCTGTTGTATGAGACCTCGACCTGACAGTTTGGATCCTGGCCTGCCCCGGACTTCCGCTCTGGCTTGAACAGTTTTCAATTGAACCCCTTGGCTCGATCGATCCCATTGTGCCATTGTCCTACCAACACTAGTGTCAAGTGTCTACCCCGCCGTGGGATGGCCCATGTACTGTAGCCGTGGCTGCCGTGCAGCTGGGTGGACGATGGTCTCGGGTGTTGTAGGTATTCAGGGGATCTTGAGAACTCCATCGTCCTCATCATATGCCACCCTGGATGAGGTAAGTACGGCGAGATGATCAACAATGGAGTCTTCGTTTCTTTTCGTGGTCGAGTTTCGGAGATGATGCAATCCATGGTGGCCCTGGAGCCGAAACGAAGTTCCTGATTCCCCCCCACGCGTGGCCATATATCGACCAGCTAAGACCCTTCTGCGATCATTATGCTCCAACGGAACCGTAGCACTCTGCCAGCCTGCTGAGCAGGAAACGAATCTACCCTTCGACAAGAACGGGAAATGCAAGAAATCGTGGAGACCCCGCCCCATTTGATGAACTGAACGAACAGCGATGACGCAGTTCGCGTTGTCAAAGTCTCGGAGGCTTGGCAGGGATCGCGCGCAGAAAATAGGCTATACCCACACACTACCGCACTAGACGCCTAGAGCTTTCTCAGTCCAGGGCCTTTCCAGTTTTCAGGACAGGATCATGAACCACTCTGCTGGATTAGCAACCCTCCACCTCCTTCTGCTTCTGGGGCTCTGGACGTGCCGGTTGAACCTCATCCTATCATCATCGCACGTGCAATCACCTTCACTGAGTACACAGTGATATTTCATGACAGGCGCGCACTGTTCTGCAATTCCCGTACCCCAAAAAGTGAAGTGATGGAGATCTCGTTCTCTCGGCGTGCGCTCGTGGTGTCCACAGGTGCTGAGTTGGGGGTCTTGCGGGGTCGAATGGACAAGTGGGTCCTCAAGATTGAGACGTCGGGGATCGGTGATTGCTATGAACTTTGTGATTGGTGGATTGATAAGTATGGGGAAATAGAAACCCCGCCTGGATCGGAAGTCGGCAGCTCGCCATTTATGAGCATTTGTGCAGTTGTCGTTGTGATGGCGGGTAAGTGATATGTTTGACTGATTACTCGAAGGATCGTTGGGTGGTTTCGACTTTCGAACGAACTGCATCCCGATCCGAGGATAGCCTCAGCCCTGCTTCTAATGCCGTCAAGGTTCTCTTTTACCCATCTCACCTTCCTTAACTGTGCCGCTCGCAAGGAAAGTGTTCTGGTGAACGAGGCAGGTGAATACTCCTGAACACGGCAAGAAGGAAGCGATGTCTCCCGGGCACGCATTGCGGTCTTGCTGCCACAAGGCACCTGTCTCGTTCAAGTTCACCCCAGAGACTTAAAGCCTGCCTGGTCTTTTCTTGTCGTCTTCAATTCCGCCCTTCACCTCCGTTGCCGATTACGGCTTGTTTGTTTTGCCTGTTGTGCGATTGATATGATATGCCCAGCCATCGCGGCCAATTCAAGAGCCGACGCGGGCCTGATATTGCAGCATACGTCTGGGCGGTCTTGGTAATTCCAAAAGCCTCTTGGCGATAAGAAGAGCAAGACAAAGTCTCATACCATTATTAGTACACCCCCACGATGAGGATACATGTCTTTGCATACGTGCTAACGCTACTCAGTCACGGACTACGAAGGTATGCTCCGGCCGAGATGTCTTCTGCATAGGACATGGAACAATACCTCGACAGTGCCTTCATTGTTCGCTCACCCACCCATGATGACTGAAGAAGCGGTTGTTACTCGACGTCAGCAACTTAAACGCGAGGGTACGATTGGCCCGCATGACAGAGCGTGGTCCTTGTGGTCAAAAGGCCACGACTGGGCACCGCAATATGGAAAACGATATGGTTTTCTAGAAGGCAGCTCTAGAGCGCCTCTTTCTGCCGTGCACACCCGCTCACGACTAATCAACTTTGTCGGGATTGCTACACTTGAGCCTTGGTAAGTTCGTTAGCGTGAGACTTCACAACGTACTCTTCGCAACTCAACCAAAATTCCACCAATTTTCATGCAAAAAGCTGGTATCAAACCAATGCGTTTTCCTCGCTTCATGCACACTCTCCACTTTACCGATTTGATGTGGTTATCCCATTGCTTTTTGGTAGAGTTTTGCAGACCCCTGTCAGAAGAATCGCGCTAACAAACTTACCAGGGCTGATATGTAATTCCTCAGTTTGGTGGGGACGTCTGCGGCCAACGGCTACTTTCCAATCGTTCAAGTTGTGACTTCTAACACTTCCAGATACCTACTTTATGTCACTGCTTCAGCAAAACCTTGTTGGACCTGCAGTTTCTGGCGCCGTCGGAATCATAATGATTGCCGAAACACTGGAGGGCTTTAATGCCGAGCGGCTCGAGGCAAAGACTTGCCGGGCCCTGGACGTGAGGGTCATGCCCGCAAGACAATCGGTCTTTGTGTCGTCTTTTTGATGACGGGCTTCTGGGCATTCTTGTGAGATCAATTCGCTCTATACTGACTGATGCACGATAACCCAAACTCCCTGTTTCCTTCACCAAGATGATGCTTGCTCGTGAGGCGGCAGCTACGGGGTTACGGGCGGGTGGATGGTTTCATGGCATAACTGACCGATTGCAACCTATGAAAGGGTTCGTTCTTTTAACATTCAGTAGCGCCTAGTGTACTGACTTGACTGCTCGCGTGTGGTCTTGCTTATCGAGGTTACCAAACAACCCAACCAAACCCTCCACCTCATCATACTTAGCCGTCCCGTCAATAATGAGACCGATGTACAATCACCCATCATCTCCCAGCTACTTTGCTGCGTCTGTCTGAATTGGGTATCGCTCGCGCTTTTCACCCTGCACTCCTGAAGGTCATGCTTGTTGCTGTTAGTGGGACCCTTGGCGTCTGCCCATCCAGCTGGGATTGCAGAGATGGGATGAACTTGTTCGTTTGAACAAGCTCGCTACCGGAACTGTAGAATGGTGTACCTGTACACCTGGACTCTCTGGAGCACTCAGTCTTGGGGACTTTATATTTCCAAACGCCGGCTGTCGCTCTGCATCCAGCGGTCAAGTGTAGGCATGCATTAGGAAAATAATGAGAGCGTACATGTCTCCATTGCCTGAGTGCTACATATGGCCTGTGCAAGTCGCTGATAGACGACTCCAAGCGGCCTTGACAAAGCAAAGGCCGGGTGCCGGGCAGGAAAGCCCACAGGTACATATGTTTCGTCCCGTTCTGACCTGCCAACCAGAGTATGATTTGTGCAAGCTTCACTTGAACACAATCGAGTTTCAAGAGGAAGCGGGCACCAGTTGGGTTGCCAAAACGGGGCAGGTAATCGAGGTAGCATTACGGGTACTGTACTTGCTGGATACCTCCTGGAAAGCATCATTTCCGTGGCAGCCAGCCCACCATCATCGTGGAGTCCAGGCTGCGTCTAAACGCCCCGCCCTCCAGTGGTCTTCCCCAATGGCAGCATTGCGCTTTTCCGTATTCCCGCAGCGGTCATCGATTCATTGACAGCTTCCCAATTTTGCGCAGGTCGCCCCCCCTCGTCGTCGTAGCCCGGGGTCGGGGACCGAGAATACCCAAAAGCCCTCAAGACCCTCACCCAAGATCCAGCCGACTGCTTTAATCCATTGACCTGCCTCTTTTCCTCCTTTCTCTTCTCCCTCCCTCGCCCCAGCATTCGTTCTCTCTTGAGACCAACAGACACAGAGAGAAGAACCTACCGACACTTTTTCCAGGACACCGACAACAGAACATCTCCACTCCGCTACGACCAAATCATGCTGCTATAATCCGCCCACAAGTCCTACAGGCCACAACAACCAAGACACCGGTTTAGCTTTCTTGCCCTATTCTTTTAGGAACACTCAACAACCTGCCCATTCGACCTCCATTTCCACTCTCTGGCCGCCAAGCAGTGTGCAAGCCAACCAGCATTTCAAAGCTGTAGATCCCGGCCGTTTTTGTGCCTTCAACCACCCGCGCCACGCTCATCGTCCAGGGCGACACGAATCTCGCCTTTTAGCAGAGCTCTCACACCTGTGCGGTCTTGGCAGGGAACGATACCTTAGTTTTTGGTCCACTGAGACAACTCACACACGGCAACTTTTATACCGGACAGACAGCCAGCGTGCGTATAAGAGCATCCGGCACGCTCCGCCCCTCGAACCAGATTTGCAACAGCAACAGCCGACCGATTCAAAGCACCATATTCGCAGCCAGGCCGTCCCGGTAACGGAGACGATTCTCAGCCAGAGCAAGGTTTGTGTGGGTGTCCCTGCAGCGAAGCAGCACAAAGTTTACTGTCAAAGGGTTCGGGATTTGGTGATCGGTAACACCGATCCGCTCAAAGTGAATCCAGACGCCCAGCTTTTTGGGACCGCAACGACGCCGCTTCTTTCACCAGCCCAGGCTCAGGATTCGTTCCTTGTTCGTTGGGGTGCATACGGACTGCTCTCATATTTGGGGCTCCGGGTTCTCGGCTCCTGTCTTCTTTTTTGGGGGGTCACTCTTGCATCCGTTTTGGACCGGCACCTGCTTCTGACTCCGTCAGTGTGGTGTGCTGCCCTGTTCTCGCTGCGTAGGTGGCCACTCATATCATCAGCAGCCATCACCCAAAACCCCCCTTCCATCTCGCACCGAAGGGAGACCTTGACGTAAGGTATTCCAGTTCCAAGCCAACCCCGCGGGCCACTCCATTCTTCCAGGTTGCCTGTGCCGCCTGCCCTGCTGGACGCTGCACGCTCCCACCTCTTCTGAAAAGACCCCCAAAGCTTTCCACCATGGCAGCCTCGGTGCTTGCTGCTGCCCCTGCGGCTACGCAGACTTCCCTAGAAGGTAATTATCATCCTCCTCCCACTTGATGCATACACATGGCTTTGAAAGGCCACCCTTACTTTACTCTCTTTCACTTCATCCCGCCCTTCCTGTTCTTCCTCTTCCTCAAGCTTTTCTTGTCCGTCCCTTTCAGCTCCTACCTTTCAAACATTACCAGCCAGTATCCTTGCCGCCTTGCTTTACCCGTCGAACAGTATACTCAACGTTTCTGTCCCCAGATCATTCTCACGCCTCGCACTCCGAGCCCAATCTTTCCAGGACTCAGCCTTCGCCGCGTCAATATCCTACCGATTCTACCAGCACAATTCCCGAAGAAGGCGATGAGACTGAGAGTGACGCTACCAATGAGCCTGTCACTCCTGTGAGCGGCCGCCAGTCCCAGGACTTTCACGAATCCCTCGTCGCCTCCGAAGCTCATCCGAGCGACGACGACGACGTCATCTACGGATCCATCGTTACGTCCGGCAAGCCCCGCGCCTCCTTCTCGGCTGCCTCTGCAGTTAGCTCGAAAAGCACACTTAACCTCAACTCACATTATACTCCTGCTCCCAGGAAGAACTCGATTGCCGAGTCGACTGCCACCACCACCGGCCGCCGATCAAACACTTTCAAACGCGCAATGTCCGGCATCTTCAGGCGCACGGCCTCGACGCTGGAGAGATCCGTACCCGGTCTGATGGATCACCACGGAGATAGTGCGGTTCTAGACCCCCATCCTCACGACATGACTCAACCACGAGATATTCCCGGCCGCCGTTTCTCCCTGGCCAGGAGTTCCAACACCACGCGGTCAAACACACCTCCATCGCCCGGCTCACCGCTAGAGATGAACATCATGTCCAAGGAACAAGCATCAAGTCCGACAGTCCCAAGTCCTGATGCCTTCTTCGACAAGAAGAAGAGGGCAACGACAGGCTTGGGCCTCCGTTCACGCGCTATTAACTTCATTACCAACAATGCCTCGCACGACGAGGCGAAACACATGCGTCGGCCCCTCCGTCGCCGTGCTAGCAGTTTCGATACCACGAAACGCGAAAAGTCGGCAAAATCCAGCGCTGCCCACCCGCAGGTGGAGATGTCAAGAGCGCCTTGGGAAATCCCCGCTCCAACCGGCACCGGCTTGAAGGCCAGGCGTTTGAGCTTGAGCCTGCCCGACGACTTTACAGTCGATGTCGTCGATCTTCTGTCCGAATTCGAGTACCACAACAAGCTCCTACGACGCCACGCCACCATTGGAAAGGGTGGATCAGCCAAGGTTACCCTCGTATCGCGGAAGGGGCAACCGGACGAGATTTATGCTGTCAAGCAGTTCCGAGCAAAGTCGAGTTCAGAAACAACGGAAGAATACCGCAAGAAGATTCTGTCCGAATACACCGTTTCAAAAAGTCTTCACCACCCGAACATCGTCGAGACCATACGCTTATGTACCCACCATGGTCTATATAGCCACGTGATGGAGTATTGCTCCGAGGGTGATCTCTTTTCCTTGGTCCAGAAGAAGTATCTTATGTCAGAAGACAGGGAGAAGGACCGTCAGTGCCTCTTCAAACAGCTAGTACAAGCTGTCAACTACCTCCACTCGAACGGAATTGCGCACCGCGACATCAAACTCGAAAACATTCTGATTACATCCGACAGCAAGCTCAAGCTTGCCGATTTTTGGCGTCTCGGAGGTCTTCAGCGGCAGACACCCTGGAGAAAGGGAAGCCGGTGGTCAGTGTGGTCAGGGTATGGGAGAGGTGCGTCGCTGTGCCGGAGGCTATCTGGGCAGCTTGCCATATGTGCCCCCCGAGATTCTCGAGAAGGTCGCCGATTACGATCCGCGCGCCGTTGACGTTTGGGGCGTTGCGGTCTGCATGCTCGCCATGACATTTGGCGGCTCCATCTGGAATCAGGCGACTCTGACTCCCTCGGACGGTTCCAAGCCGGATGTCTGCTACGTTCAACTAGCAGAAGGCTGGAGAAAGTGGAACGCGAAACACGCTGGTCAGACTGATCCGGTCCCTGCGGATACTGACATGCCACGTGCAAAGTTCATGGATTTTGCCGTTACTCACAACGGACTTCGTCGCCTCCTCCTCCAGATGCTTAACCCGAATCCCGACAAGCGCATCTCGATCACCGACGTCTTCAACAGCAGATTCGTCAAGAATATCGAGTGCTGCCAACTTGAAAGTTACGAGGATCCATCCAAGACGATTGATGCCTCCAAGAAGGGATGCTCCGGCAAAGGCGCACCGCAAAAGATTTTCTGTCACAACCACTTGCCCCCCAAGGGACATCATATTGCAGCTGTCATCGGCAGAACCTGAATGATCAATACTTTTTGTGGCTTAGAATAATCTAATTACGAATAATTTCTTCACCTTCATCGACGCTATCAGAACAACCATAGCAGCGACGCAATGCGCGCGCTTTTGTGTTGATTTTACATTGCTCCTACCGGAGTTGACTACAGTTCGACGCTTGGGCGCTCTCAGTATTTGATTAAGAAGGAATGCTTTGCACATGCTTCATTTGGGCCAGAGAAGTTCTATACATGGGCGTTTGTGGGATTCAAATCAGCTATGCGCTGTTCGTGGGGTGGTTTGATATTATGGGGTTTGGCTTTTGGGCATGGTGGTTTTCTGTTGTCTTACCGGTTTGGAAGAGCATTAAAGAGATCGGGGTTCGAGCGGTGCATCTTGGAGTGGGCAACGATCAGATGGGTTATTATGAGACACCAAGCAGAGAGCATCATCCAGATATAAGGAAGCGGGAAGAAACAAGTCCTTAAGGTGTCGAGCGTCGTATATGTGGATCGCTCCTTGAGCTGCGAGAATACGGTCAGGCGGAAGGAAAGAAAAAAGTTCAGATTTCAATTACACCCTCTGCATTTTCCCTATGAATCTTTTGGTTGTCAATTCACCTTTTGCTGCGTTCCTTGCTACAGACCTTCCCTTTTCCCCGCTTTATCCGCTAACCACAGTACCTCTACTCTATAGAGGAGGGGGGAGAAAGAACGCGGGGGCCAGTCTCATGCATTGGGCTCACTCGATTGGACCCTATGGGACGTCTCGGTCATCGTTTTGATGCTGATTCTTTCTCGTGATATGTGCCACTGGTCAGTGACCCTATAACCGATCATTTACGATGTCCAAATCAAGACATGGCATGCAGCTATTCACACCATCTCTACGCTACGAAGGTAGGTGATCACCAAAGTCGAACGGCGCCCACCACTGACCTGTGCAGTGTGTGCATGGCCTTTCGCTTACTTGCCACTTTATCCCTCAGCTGTCGTCACAGTTCACCTTCAGTTGAATGGCATGCTTTCCCACCCGTTTGCCCGCTTTGGAAGCATTTGGAAGTGAGCGTGCGCGCATGTGGTTCGTGATCAATGCGACCCGGAATATATACCTGCGTATAACGCTACATATACTCGTTCTTCTGCAATTCTTGGGTGAGTGAATAAAGGTAGAAGGCGCATAGATTAGGTACGATGCATGTCTACTAGCTATCTGGCAGCTGCTTTATCGAGGTATGTAGATATCTGCATATCGTGTTCATGACAGAGCCTGCAGAGCAATGCAGACAGCTTCGAATCCATCTGCAACCATCGTGATCTGGCTTTTTCTTTGGAAAAGCGAGTCTTCTGGCCACTTCACTATGAAGCTGGCTGGACTTGGAGAACGCACATATCACAGGCTACTACTGGAAGCCAAGAAAATGACTTGAACGCTCAGGGAAGGTCGAACGCAATTACTTGGCACCAAGACCATCCTATCCCAGAAGGAAGTATCTCTTGGCTTTTTTGTAATTGTTGTTGATGCTGGTTTTGATTTCTCATGCCAACTCTTTGCAAGGGCATCTGTTAGGTAAACTGTTGAGATGTTAGTCAAAGTGTTTGTTTTCTTACCACACTTTCAAGTTTATATTGCTTGGCTATCCCATCATGACTTTCGTAACCGGTGACGCCGGTCTTCACCATCACAACGGACAATCTTTTATACCACCATAGAGGTATCCAGACGACCTCGACTGCCCGCCTGCCCGCCTGCCCGCCTGCCCGCCCGCCCGCGATCGTCATCAATTCTTCCCTCCGCCCGTCCGTCCGCCCAGCCGTCATCATCTTTCTGTCGATGAACCCCTTTTCTCCAAATCCGGCGTTTCCTTCCCTGAAGTCTTCAGTTGCATGCATATGCCATCCCACACACCACCACTGTCTTGGCAAGCAGAACGCTACAAACCAAAGTTGGTTGTCACTCAGGAACCAGAACCAGAACCAGGTCTGGAGAAACTCGAACGGCTGGACTGCTCTGGAACGGGTGGGCTGTTCTGGAAGGTGCCACTGGCTCATTATCTGTTATTTTCCTGTGAATTGAGGCACAGTATTACACTGCGTTCTGCTCAGCTCTCGCCACACCGTAACCTGACCAGACGGACCAGAGGGAGAGCAATCGAGGTTGACTGCTGAAGCTCGATCGGTCTCAGTCAGCCAGTTTGGCCTGAATTGCAAGCCAAGACATGTAACAGCAAAAGGGTAGGTACTGAGCTCCCGGTTATGTACTCGGTTATGTCTTGTCCGTCGATTAAGTTCAGTCAGTTTGGACGTCATGGTAACACGAAGAACAAGCCCGGGCGGGCCTGCAGAAACCGAAGTAGGTACTCCATCACCAAAGATGCGAGCAGTTACTTGTGAGCTTCAAGGCTGATCGTGAGTACAGGACCAGTCACTAGTACCTTAGTTCAGTCCACTATAGTCATCTAACTGTCTCACTGGCCCAAGTGAACAAAGGAAAGAAGACCACGATGTCGCGGACGGCGGCAATATAAGGGGGGCGCGTCTGGGCCAGAGGAAGGTTCTGCACCAGCCTCGGTTCCTACACCAGTCTGGCAATCTGGCACAGATGAACTCGTCTGGGCCAGACGATTGAGGAGGTCTTCTGATTGGTCAGAATTCTCGGAAAAGGGATAAAAAGCCAGAGGACCTTGGAGGCTTGTACAGCAGTCTTTGGCTTTTACCCTTTTGCACCCAAACCTGACCAATCAGAAGCCTCCGTTGAGCAACTTGGTTAGTTCTCCCACCTAGGCCAGCCTCGCTGACTGACTTAAAAAACCAGACTGGCGTAGCGAGGCCTGCCTACGCCAGACACCCTCCTCATACTTCCGCTGCGGTATCTCTGCGGTTGCCTGACGGTTTCAAGCTCACAACGGTTTCCGAGAAGAAAACCAGAAGGTCTCCTCAGTTCGCGGTCACCAAGAACCCTCATTCGGTAGGAACCATTTCATTCCGATATGACCGGTACCTCCCCCGGGAAATCTGTTAGAAGGGGTAGTAGAGCGATGAAATTTCACATAATCAAAGATTGGACCTCACTGACAGAGATACATCTGTCCTTTCTCCGAGCCTTCGCTCCTTCCTTAGAGGTGTACTGTCACCCCGCTGGGGCCTTCATGTTCGGTTCGGGAACTAAAGGAAAGAGCACATGCAGGCGGCCGAACTCTTGGAGCAGGTGGGGCCGGGTGTGTTTGATGATCCTGCTGTGTCGTTCAGTTGCCGACGGAGCGCCTCTTGAACGATCACGATTAGGAAGGCGCGGTCACGGCCAAATTGTTGACCGTGCAGTGAGCTACGAGCAACGGCTTTAGATTTCTCGGCACAGTCGACACCGGGGCGGCTACTACGACACCTTCAGTTCGCTTTCAGTTATAGAGCTGAGCAAGAAAAGAGGAGTCCTGCAATTCTGTGATAGTTCCAACCTGATTATGACGATAAGTACTTCCAACAAGCATACAACGAACTGCAAGTACCTCGTGGGCTGGCTCCCAAGTGAAAATCTTCAGTTACTATCTCAAGTCTGCCGCACTGAACATCATATTCGCTTACGCCGATATAGAAAAATGATAGCTCGCTTTCCTCGGCGTCTTCCAGAAGAACTGTCGAAGCACCTCTGCATCCTAAACCTGCTAACCTCCGATTCATTCGTCAAAATAATCCTCGGAATGGTGTGCGAGTGAGCGTGATTGCCAAGTTCTTGTTGAGTGCCCGCCCCTGGTTAAGGTGAGTGGCGAAGAGAGAGTTGTACCCTCGAGTCCTTGGTCCCAAATGGTACACTACCGTCTGATCACGCCGTTTTTCGGCTGATGCCAAGAAAGTTTACTACTACACATTTTTCGCACCGCAGTCACCGACTACATCGGGCAGTTCGGGAATAACCTCATCTCACCTCACCTCGATCATTATACTTGGGCATGTCCACAAGACTCGGCTAGAAGTATGAGTTGTTCCACGGACACACGCTACCTTACATAGAGGTACTTTTCATGATATGCTCTGGCTCTGAGCTTTCGCAATATTGTCTTCAGGCAGAAAAAACTACAATGGCAAGTGCCTGAAACGGCGTATAGAATGATGGCTAGACGTAGGTACATACCTCTACCTTACCTCTACGTTCTTCGAACTGGGTGGGTAGTGCTTGAAAGGACACTACGTCTTTAGAGACTTATAGTTCCAATGATCTCTCCCCCCTGTCATATGTGAAGCTCTGTGCGCAGAGCTCAGTGTCCTCCGACGGACGGACGACCACCTGCGGCAACGGGTAACTGTGTTGTCCGGTGATATATCAAATCTCACTTACCTGGGAAGGACTTAACACTATAGCCGGGGCCAAGTAACTCGGCACGTGCGCAAAACTGAGTTCTTCGGACTACTCATCTGACAGTAAGGTACGTCTAAGCCTGGGCGGGAGACAGTAAGATAGTTGAGACATGTAAGCCGTAGAGATGTGTACCCTGCACTACTAGGTAAGTTACTCGCTCCGACATCTGAAGGCAATGTCTTGACGGGGTTAGGACATACATCAGATCGGTAAAGCGTGAGGCTATGAGACTCGAACGCCGTGGACGACACCATGATGGGCTTGTGGGAGGCGAAGAAGCGAAGTGTGTTGTGGCCTCTGAACAAGACGGTACTGAAGCGCTTGAGATATGTTGGCAGGAACGCCGTTGAGATGGCATAACGCAGATTCCACAGCACACCTGCTGCTAATTCCAAAAATGCCGAGTTTGAGAAATGCTATATTTGTCTACACTAACTAACCTGCCTGTAATGACCAACTTTTTGTTTTCTTCGAAAGAGGCTCTAGATTCACGTTCTGACCCTTCCAAACATCAACCTCTCAATTAGCAGCCATGTCCTTAGGACTCTTCTTCCTCCCAGAACTTTTCCCTCCGTCTTCCCTGTCCTAGTTCATCGACTCTCCATCCAAATACCCCTTCCTCCCTCCTCTGAAGCGTGCTAGGAATCGTGAGCTGCCCCAGATGAAGACAG